GAGTGGGTAAAAGGGTACGATAAATTGGTTAGAAAATTATTTCCTCTCGAAATATCGAATGTTAAGGCTGAAGGACCTAAATGGAGGTCGATATCGAGTTGGTATGTACATATATATACCAACGAAATATATATACTATTCCTATGGAATAAGTCTCTTATATGTAGGTATATATAAACGTTCAGTTGCATATTATTTATCACAAAAGTTCAGAATGGGGTGAAAACTGATAAATTTCAACCAATGAAACATACTTTTATTTCGTATGGTACAATTTCACTTGTACAAGCGTGGTAGGTAATAGGTTATGATAAATAATTCCTCCAAGTTCTCCACATACGGAAGTAGGTATAAATGAACTTCAGCGCTAGACACACTATAGATCGCCGTTCACATTGCTAAAGGGGATTGTTGGTTTGAACCCGGCCATCGGAAGATCATTTTCAATACCTAACATAAATGGTGCACTCGTTAAGCGTTCTTGTTCTGTGCTCTGATAATATCTTGCTCGTATCTTGGTACCCAAGAAGTGGTTCAAAATCCACTAGGAGCAATGTAGTCGTCTAGCACTTCACAACTACGCATGAACATACACATTCAGAGATTTCAACTTTGAAGAAGCGATACACGAACAATATATTCAACTCTTTGATATAGATACATCAATTTTGCTAACTCTGACTTTTGTATCTGAATCTTTTTGCTTTAACTCATTTTCCAACTCTCTATTTTTTCTTCTATTTGTTTCCTGAATTTCTCACTCTCTTCCACTCGTAAACCTTGGATTTTTTAATATTCCTGCTCTAAAAATTCGATTCTCAATCTCAAGTCTTTTTCTTTCAAAATATGTTCGAAATGAATTTCATTATCTGCTAGTTTTTCGTTTCTTGTTGGTTCTAAATTGGAATAAGATTCTTTTCGATACTCGCTCAGTTTATGAATTGTGGGTTCGGCTCTTTCTCTCAATACGATCCTATTCTTCAACATCAAATCATCCGTTCTGGATTGTACCTGATACAAATGCGTTGAAAAATGTTCTATGTCCTACCAAGAAATTTGAATACCTCGCAAATTTTGTGGCCTGCATCATATTCTGTTTCCATTGTTATATAATTACGTTATCCGAAGGAAATTCGAATAGAGTGAATTGATTTCCCGTGTTCTCACAGTTGGAAACTGCACAAACTTGCATCTTTCTCCTAATTCTCTCAATTTGTCAAACCTTTGAAATTTATGTCATGTACGTCCGAGTACTGTCAGCTCCCGCTTTTTCCATCAATTTATTTGTGGTTATGTCTGATTGTCAGTGCTTGTCATAGTGTCCGTACTGTAATATACAAAAAACGTCAAAACAGCAGTGTCAAGTACATTTAGGAACTCTAGTATTACCGAGCGCTCGATACATGCCGAGATCGGGCGTTCCGAATGCGGTTTCTTGGGTACTCGATAAAAAAATGCGTCATAATTCTTCGAGAAAAAAACTTTCTTTGGAAGCATTGATACCCTGTATCTCGAAAACGAAGCAAGTTGGGACCAATGTTCATATTATGCACTTTTTTTCGTGAAATACGAAAAAAAAATCCTTTCACATCTTCATTCACACCCTATTCTCTTAGATGCGCCCTCGCCTTACCGTTCTGTACAAAGCATTAAAATTCACGTGAAAAAAGGAGCATTGGTATGGCTGCATGTGCTACAAAAACACATATTGTTTTACCCCTCCAACAGCCGATGCAGCTGCTTGTTACTATTCTCTCGTTCTTCGAATTCATTGGTTGGTTCTCTACAATTCTACATATTTCTTTTTGCGATATGAATGTTCGATCTGGAATTCCAACGTGTCAAATTGATTATTGTGAGTCAAATATAAAGTCATTTCGATCTAGCAGACTTACACGGGTTGGTGAACTTTGGTCACCAAGGTCTTCAATAACACATATTCACATTAAAAATTCAAATTAAAAGAAAATAACTTGCAATGTCACTTTTATAATACAACTATCATAGTGACGAAATTTTTACTCAACCACCAGCTGATTTCGTTGCAACTTGTCTTCCACTCTCATATCATCGTCAATTCCTTCATCTCTAGGCACTATCAAGGAGTTTAATTTCATCATCAGCAGAAATAACCCAAGAACATTGATCATTGTTCGAAAAAATTGTATAGCAGATTTTGAAAGCTTGTTGCTTGGAAACAGACCGACGCCGTAGGTGGAGGTCTGGAAAAAAATTTAAACAGAAACAGAAACAATTTATCCAAATGTGCAATCTGCAATCAACTGGACTTAGGTTACTGATGAGGATATGATATCTGAAATGAATTTTATTCGAGTGAAGTCTTATAGCCTGTTTGTGAGAGATATATAATTCCCATATCACTGATACGAATGATTTTTTTTTGGAAATACATCCTATACATTTCAATTTTTATTTCAATACTGAACATATTGGTAAGTTAAATTTTTATATCATAATACATCATAATACATCATATTCGATTTGAGAGATAATGTCAACTCTCAATTTTTTGGAAGGAGGATTTTGATTTTTCATGCTCTCTTTTTGGATATTCAACAGATATAATTCAATGTTCGACGTGGCTTAATAGTCAGGAATGTAGTTGTTTTCTGTTGAATATTCAGAATGATATCATGTGCATATCTTTATATGAAGGAGAATGCAAATTCTCTACTTCAGAAGATTTTGTTTTCAAATTCTTATCGTGTGTGTTCAATAGATATAATTCAATGTTCGTCTTGGCATATAGCCAGGAAAGTAGTTGTTTTCTGTTGAATAAACCGAGAAAGAATTGATATTTTCATCACATGGAGAATGCGAATTCTCAATGTATTCCTTTATATACAAGGTGTTTTTGAAATAAGTGCACATATTCAGCAAATGAATATGATACAGTTTAAGGAATATTCCCATGATATCAGATTTTTTTAAATTCTTCTAATTAACGAGAAATTTCATCCCAAAAATTGAACAAAATACGAGAAAAAAATGAAGTACGCCACTTTAAAACAATTTAAATGATTGAACTCCGCGTGATTGTGCCTACCGCATGGAAATTTGAACAGAGGTGACGTCAGATTTGCTACAGTGTAAAACTTTGGGTGGAAAAAGGGGCCTAACCTCAAATTTCATTTTGATCCCTGAATTTTTTTTATTAGTGCCATTCGATAGTACACGTCGAGCTTTCTCAGTGTTTGAAATATTTGCACTTATCTCAATGCCACCCTTTATATATACAGTGTGTCCACCTTAAGGACTTACCATCCCTGTAAAATCGTTATTATCCGACCAATTTCAAAAAACCTTTTTTTTGTTGGATAGGTATTTGAAATGCCCATCCAACGAGAGAGTGATCTAATTCTTGGACTGTTATCATGGCCAACTGCGACAAATTTCAATGACCTATATTCCAGAAAGTACTATTAGGGATTTTTTTCCACGAAACTTGATGATGGATTCTGAATCAGTACCACTTGAAATATACCTGTACCGATTTTCATCATCATAAAACACAGGGTGTCCGAAAAAACGAATCATCATTTTCTTCGAATAGGTGATCAGCAAATGTAGTTCTGTGGTTTTTCTAAAAAGAAATAATCACAAATTATCATTGAGGATTATTTCAAATATACCTGTACCAATTTTCGTCATTTGAATATACAATGTGTCTGAGAAAAAAATTAAAAAGGATAGGTAAGCAATTATTTTCATCCTGATAATTCTTCACTCAAAATAAAAAGATGAATCAGGATCACTTGGAATATACCTGTACCGATTTTCATCATCATAAAACACAGGGTGTTCGAAAAATAAAATTAATATTTTTTCTGTGACGGGAAAAAAGTTTGGCATTTCATCTCTGTTGGCAGGTTATAAAATGTCACTTTTCATAAATTACTTTTTTCCCGTGGGAAAAAAGTGAGTACTTCTTTCCCGGATATATATCACATATATATACTCTGTTAATGGCTTTTGTTGTGCTATAGTTCCGAAAAATGAGTCAATAATACCGTCTCCGAGAAAGAACTGCAAGTCCTTTTATCTTCCATTCAACTTCGCGGTTTCGTATATTACTAAACAACTACTGAATTCGCAATATTTTGAAATCAAATCACAAAATTGAACTGACAGAAGTGACATCAGATATTTGATTACTTCAAAAGAATGATGAAGATGCCTATAAAACGCAGGTGTCCCTACTGTTAAAAACTTGAAATTTCACGTCGATAATTTACAGATTTCGAAATAATGTAATATCTTCTCAATATTGATTCGTCCGTCCTTCTGTCACAGAAAAAAATAGTGTATTATACACGGGAAAAATATTAGATTTTAGCTCACGGTTTTTTGTCTCCCTCCGCTACGCGTCGGGAGACAACACAACCTGGAGCTAAAATCTAATACTTTTTTCCCTTGTATAATAAATAACTATTTTTTGAGTTGATGAAAAAATATTGCCTACTTTTTTTAATTGTTTTCTCATACACATCGTATTTTTGAATGATGAAAATCGGTACAGATATGTGTCATCAATTCTTCTCAAAAATACCACAATACTACATTTTCTGATCACCTATTAAAAAAAAAACATATTTCGTTTTTTCGGACACCCTGTGTTTTATGATGGTAAAAATCAATAAAGGTGTTTTTCAATTGATCTTTATTCAGAATCTATCATTGTTTCTTGTGAAAAAAATCCCTAATAGTACTTTCTCAAATATGGGTCAATAAAGTTGGTCGCAGTTGGCCACGATTACAGTTCATGAGTAAAATCACTCTCTTGTTGGATGGACATTTCAAATACCTATCCAACAAGAAAAAGTTTTTTGAAATCGGTCAGATGATAACAATTTTACAGGGGTGGTAAGTCCTTAGGGTGGACACACTGTATATCAATTTTTTGAATATTCCTTTTCAATCAAACTCGTGTTCTTTAGACAATGATAAGTGCGAAATTACCAAATAAATAAATTTTTCAGGGACGCATCCAGAGACGTTCTACTGCAGCACGTGAAGGGTCACTACCAGCAGCAGCCTCAGCAGCAGACGCTGCTACACCAGCAACAGCAGTCCCACCAGCACCTGTTGTCGGACGTGGGGGCCTCAACTAGCGCTCAGGATTTGAGATTAAGGGGTACGAGTCCTGATAGAGACGAGGCAAGTGTAAATAACATAACGGGCGGCAAGGGCTCCGCCGCGCCCTTCCGGTGCGGTCATTGCAACCAGGTATCTAACTGGAAGCATGTCATTCAGGTATACTAACATTTAGCTTACTAACAGATTAACGGCTTTTTTGTTGTGTGTCGCCGGCCCAATCAGGAAGGAACTACCTTTGTGACTTTTACATTCTTGGCTCTACTTGTCAATACAATATACCTATTTTGAAACATGAACTTTATTCATGATTCCAAATTTTTTGGGATTTTCTCTCCTCGTTTCTATAAAATAAAAATATGAATATTATTTCAATAAACGTGTAGTAAGGACAAATCAGATGATTTGCCCCAAAATGTCACTGCGTTTAAAGAATTTTCCTATCAGAGAGCCTAAAAGAAAAAATCACTAGCTTGTCAGTGACAATTTGTATTGAAAAAAGTTTGGAGAAGAGAAATAAAGGTATATAGGAAAAATATCAAATTTTCACTTATCTTTGGACGTTTCGGGGCCGAATCTGCTTCCGTTTTCAACATAAGAAATGATTATTTCAATAGCAAAGTCGTATCTGTCTTGAAGCTTTTCAGTTTTCATTGACAATTAGTGACGTTGGCAATCAAATGAGTTCTAGGATCAAGAGAGAAAAACTCAAAGTCGTCCCCACAATTTTTAATGTATAAGAAGGCAGTCAATCCTGCTTCAATAAGGTTGAAAGTTGATACATGTTTCGGCCATTCAAATGGCCATCTTCAGTCAAAATAGCAAAGTGTATCTACAATAGAAACCAAACATGATTTTATATAAGTATAAGAAGAAATTGAAATGGAAAAGACAACAGTTGTGAATTCGAAATTGAATTGATTAACAAATTTCAGTGAAATAAAAGAGCAACAGTGATTTTTATAAGTATAACAATGATAATTGATCAGTAATTGATGGTAAAAAATGAAAAAAACAAAATTTTTATCAAATCAAAAATTCTGGAAACAAAATGGAGAACCATAGATAAGAAGACTATCACTTTTGCTCTTTTATTTTACTGAAATTTGTTAATCAATTCAATTTCGAATTTACAACTGTTGTCTTTTCCATTTCAATTTCTTCTTATATATAAAATCATGTTTGGTTTCTATTGTAGATACACTTTGCTATTTTGACTGAAGATGGCCATTTGAATGACCGAAACATGTATCAACTTTCAACCTTATTGAAGCAGGATTGACTGCCTTCTTACACATTAAAAATTGTGGGGACGACTTTGAGTTTTTCTCTCTTGATCATTCCACTCCACTTTGAGTATGGACTACTACAGAAGATTATAGGATGTTTCCTTCAATTAATCTCGAATTTACCATTCTCATGTTCAGATTTTAGTAGTGAATACCATGTTCTGTCTATATCAACTGAACAAGAAGCAATGCTATTGTCTCCGTTCAGATGAATGCAAGCAAATTCCTTGATATTTTTTGGAAAAGAAGATAACAACCAGAAGAGAAAAATCAAGGAATCTGCTTGCATTCTTCTGAACGGATATAATATCATTGCTTCTTGTTCAGTTGATATAGACAGAACATGGTATTCACTACTAAAATCTGAACATGAAAATGGTAAATTCAAGATTAATTAATGAAAACATCCTGTAATTCATTTGATTGCCACGTCACCACGACTTTGCTATTAAAATAATCATTTCTTATGTTAAAAACGGGAGCAGATTCGGTCCCGAAACGTCCAACGATAAGTGAAAATTTGATATTTTTTCTATATACTTTTATTTCTCTTCTCCAAACTTTTTTCAATACAAATTGTCACTGATAAGCTAGTGAATTTTTCTTTTGGGCTCTCAGATAGGAAAAGTCTTTAAACGCAGTGACATTTTGGGGCAAATCATCTGATTTGTCCTGTATATTGAAATAATATTCATATTTTTATTTTATAGAAACGAAGAGAGAAAATCCCAAAAAATTTGGAATAATGAATGTACCACCTCCTCGATCAACCTACAGACAGTATTTATGAACTATATTCGTACATGCCGCATTGGCAGGCGCATCTGAATATAATCTTCAATCTGGATCCCTGGGTAATCATGAAATTCTTTACTACCTTGAGTACCTTGGTGTATAAATAACTGTTACATTATTGGATTTATTTGACAATACAATACGAATGAGACTCGTATAATTACCGCCTTGGCAGTCATAATATATGCAGGGTCTGGCAATAGAACTGGACGATTTTGAAGAGGTTGCTATGGAAACATTGTTCTACATACGTCAAATAGTGAATAAGGAAAAACTATGTCTCTTTATTTTATTGATTCTTTTTATTTATAGAGATTCATAAAAATTACATTAGTGAAAAGAAGGTATATCAATGAATACATTATTCATACAATGATTTTATACAAAATACATGATGCACCTAGACCCAGGGTCTGTATGTGCGAATTATTAGGTAGGTAATAAAATATTTGACACTTTTTTGAATGTCATAATGACGTTAATTATCGCACTTGTGCTTTTTTGAATCGATTACCACACATATTTATGTCAAAACGTGAAGTTCATCAAACTGATGGGTCATTCCAAATTTCAATTACTTATCTCTTAAACTAAAGGCAAAAAGGGGGTGTACCATGATCATGTTACACCCGGTATGTATATTGGACTCGCCAGTGGTGGCAAAAGGTACAGTTCACCACAATTAACATGACATACACAACTATTTTCAGTGACATAGTCGCACCTCAATTTCAAATCGAAAAAAAAAGTCACTTTCATAGTATGTAGAGTGTCTCGAACATCTCATTACACGCCCTTCAATGGATGTGGACACGCTTGTCACCACTAATATTTCCGAGTCGTCATCATTATCAGATTTTAACGCCAGTTCTGAGAATTGAATAGGCATCTACGCGAAAATATTTTCGGATATATCTTGTTCGGTAACGAATTGTAATAATTTTAACAATGATGTTTACCATTTTTATATATGACCTGCCCAATGACGAGAAGTCATTTTAAGTATTCGTTGAAGCTTCAAATTCCAATATTCATTTCATGGAAATACATATTCAATGATATATGTAATATTGATATAACTACAAAGTTAGCTTCATGTGCCTTTGGTGTTACTCGTTCAATGAAGATGTACAGAAGAATTACCTTCCATCTTTCATAAATCATATTCGTGTCTCATGTTTTCTGTTCAGCTGTTCAACAATATGACAAGTGAAGGGGCAAGTGGAAGAAGGAGCTATGTTACAAATATGAGTTTGTGGGAAAAATAGGTTTTAGTAAAGTTAGCTGGCTTTTTTTAATGAAAGCTAGTTTAATAATATGATTTATGCAATTTTTAGGAATAGTTTCAGGTTGTTTTTTATGATTTACCGCATTTTGCTATCATATCATTTTTTGATATACATATGGATTCATGCGTTCATAATCCCTTCTTCCATTTCCTGACATGACTTGACCCCTTATTCTTCCACTTGCCCCTTCAAGTGTGTCCATACTCTTTAAAGGGCGTAAAATGAGATGTTCGAGACACTCTAATCGTAGGTATTGAACTATATTTCGAAAAAGAAATACTATTTACATGAAACATATAAAAATATCAATTGGATTGCGTTCGATGAGTTATTCTGTCAGCTTGACGGAATGCCAGTATGAACCAATCTCCTGTTGTGGCGTCAAAAATAGCAAATGACTATTCACATCTATTCACCTTCACAATGTTCAATGGAATCGTGGTTCTGAAAGCTAGCACATGCTCAATAAAATATTATTAATTTGAAAAAAACATCATAATATTTTGTAGATGGTTAACTGTTTTTGTTTTACAATGGCAAACTGGCTGACCGGCACTTCTCTGCTGTAAAATCGTTAACCTAATCATTATTGCAAATTTAAAAGATTTGGCAATGATATCATCGGACGTTATACGAATTTCTGTCTGTGGGGAATCTCGAAAGATATGAGGTATACTCTGCCCGCCCATGAACACATTTAAAACTCTGAGAGAATTCATGCAGAGATAAGTTCACGGATATATTGCAACAATGCATCAAACTTCCAATAATACAATCTCAGTTTTGGTAACAATTACTCCAAATCTGTCAAAGTGTTTGGGATCACACGTTAAAAGCACAAGTCTCTTGAAGACTTTTGAGGATTGCTCGTAAAGGGCAAACGAATGATTGATAAGAACAATTTTGGAACAATTTAGTATCAGTTCCTTTATAGTGACTTTTTGGGAACAATTCAATCCTATTGCCGGACTCTGTATAGATAATACCGTCCAAGTTGCCAACTTTGTTTATCAAAGTTGTCTGTCTTTCAGTTACAATATTGATTCTCAAATACAATTTTGCTCAAAAATAATGCCTAATGCTGTCATATGGAATTCAAAGTATATAACCAAAAATAATGTTGTTCTCTTTCCAAAGCTTTGTTTGATTGTTCCAGAATTTCAGCAAAATAGAGATGCGTCACAGGTGAAAATTCAAAATTGTTAGGTTCTTCTTCTTTTTCTGCTTCTTCTTGTTTTTCCTTTCGTTTTCTTGTTTTTTCACTCCTTCTGGTCCAATTTCAACAGTTTTGGTGTTATTTCTCAAGATCAATCTTGTTAGAATGATAAAAGGGAGATCTCTCCTACAAAAAGCATATGGAAAATGAAATAGGTTTTTTGCATGAGATACATTTTTTTCTATTGTTCAAGCAATACTTTCTCTACTCGTGTGAGAACTATAACCCCATTATTACCACTCCCATCACTTCACGCACCTGTTGGAATATGATTACTGGGAAAAAAAATCTTCATATATGGACAAATTAAGTTCATTTCACTGTGTTTGTATTGCACTCAAACAAACGTGGAGACAATGTTTATTAATATATTCAATTTTGTTTGAAGGAAACATATTTTTGAAGGCTATATAATTGTACGTTTTTCATTTTATGTAAATTTAGTTAGAATAATACAAGTTACTCAGTTTTTCACTTAAAAACGTGCATTTTCAATCAATGCATTCTATAAGTAATTGTTACCAACTATTCTTATCACTTTTGTACATGCTTTTTGTTATTTCATTATCA